TGTCTTGCCCAAGAACACAACACAATGTCCCCGGCCAGGGCTCGAACCCGGACCGCTCGATCCGGAGAAGAGCGCACTAACCATGAGGCCACCGCGACTACCTACAAAGAAAAAAGAGAAACAGAAAAAACTCGAGATTCTGAACAGGAGCAGGAAGATGCAGCATATACAATGAAGCTTCATGATTAAATCTACCTCGGTCAAGCCTGCTTTAGTTCACACCATTCAGTCATTAAATTAGCTGCCTTTCTTGAAACAATAATTATATACATAGAATATTAATTTGAGAGGCCAAAGCTATAAGGAGACGATAGGGAGATAAGCATACTATCAACACTCTCAGTACAATAGTTGGAAACTTAAGGCTGTGATTAGAGAACTACAATTTAAAGGTCAATCAATTTTTTACTTTCATAACTTTGCAAATTGACTCTTGAAATGTATCGGGCGTAAAAACACTAAAAGTATTTTGCACTTCCACTAAAAGTATTTTACACTTCCACTAAAAATATTTTGCACTTCCAGTTGAAGTATTTTGCACTTCCACTAAAAGTATTTTGCACTTCCACTGAAAGTATTTTGCTCTTCCGCATTCCAGTGCTTTTAGAAGAAAAGAAAAGGTTGCCAGATAGCTGATAATCACGATAACAGCTTCAATTTTCAGTCAATATCTTTAATAATCATGGCCTTCACCGATCTATTTGTTATTATTATTGTTTTTATCACTTTTTTTTTTATAAATATAAAAGTAAAGAGATCCTAAAATTTGTTTTCGCATTACCCAATAATAGGAATTCGTTATGATTCAGAACCACATTTAAAACAGATTTAACGCGATTCAGCGCGCTTACTAGGAGTACAAAAACAAACAAACAAACAAACAACAACAACAACAACAACCCTTTTGATCGACATGGCGCCGATACAGAGATCGTTAGATTTGCTCTTTGCTTGCGCTATCTGTGCTATTTTTCTTCATAAATGACAAAGTTTGATGCAGGTTTAATCTTTTGTTAGAAATGTATATTAGATCAAATGAAGATGCAAGGAACCCAGCATTTTTTGAGGGGGTTTTTTATTACCAAAAGAACCCTCCAACGCATGCGCAATGATCAAAAGATTGAGAGTGAGCTGCAAATGGCTTTCTCGGAAATACACATATTTCTCGAAAACGACTTATTAGAACTTCATAACACGTGGCAAGCAAATGCTTTAGGAAATAAGCAAGTGGGGTACTGAAAATTTTGGAATCAACAGAAGGAATTCCAAATTATCCAGTTATCCTTTGGCCAAGGATAATATAAAAATATCTATGTTAAACTAACACTAAAATAGTGTTAGGATGTGACAGAGCATTATTGCCACAAGCCTGCAACTGTAACATTCAAATGATGAAGAAAATCTAACGATTAGATTTTCTGCAAATGAACGAAACCCGCTTTTTTAGACCTGATTACTCGGCTATTCATGTTGCCCCGGCAACGTCAAATACGGCGACTATACAATTATCAAAACACCAAAGTAAGTTATGTTAACTTGTATCTTGCCATTTTGGGGACCAATTGAGGACCAAGGGTTTAAGAAACATGGTAAATGAAATAGAGGTATCAAAAACTGTGTTCTACTCTGCTCTGTCTTCTACTCCGCTCTGTTTCCTAGATACGTTTCCTCGTTTCATTTTTTTTCTTTTTTTTTCTGCTTCAAACTCGAACAACAGAGTGGTTCTGCAGTATTTTATCAAGTTCTCTTAACGTAAACCTTTTTTGCTAATTTGATTTTTTAAAAGTAATATTAGTTTTCATAAAGGCAACCTTTGTTTTATGGAAAGTACCTTTTGTGGCTTTTCAAACGAGATATGATAAACTTCCTTGCTTTAAATACTTTGTGAAATATTAAATAAAGAATACAATGTGGTTAATCTGACTTTTCTGTGCGTGACTGGAATGCGTTTTAATAGCTACTTGATATTTGAAAGTTAACCAGCTGTCTCTAGAACCATTGTTGTAACTGCCTTGTCCACCGAAGTGACAGTTACTTGTGGTATAATGTTTGTCACAGTTACACTGTGTATAAGAAGTGAAACAAAGAACAGTTACCACATGAAAACATACAAATGAGCTATTGAGGTTCGACACAAAATTTTCATATAGGATCTTTGCTTTTCTCTAATGTCATCGGCGAGTTTACAACTCTATTAAACTCCTCCTGTACGTTCAGTCAAACGGATCATTGACAAAGTTTTAGGTTCTGTCCTCGTGTACCGGTTCACAAGAACCGATACAAAAGACCCAACAATGTTCAACAGCTAAACAAAGGTTCGTAATTATAAAGAAAGGAGTATAATGGTTATTCCCTCTGTGTACCGGTACACCAGGACACAACCAAGTTTTAAACGTCAAAATCATGAGACGACGAAGCGAAGTTCCACTTCTTCCACTTCTCCTTATCCAGAGTGTCTGTCTATAGTTACATTTTGCTCATCTGCATGTTTTGAGTCAGCAACAACTTATCAGTCTTACAGGTTATATAATTTCTTACGCCCTCGAATGCGGACTAATCTAACAGGGAAAAAATTTTGAGTTTGTTTTTGACGTCGTTCCCACTGCAATATCTTTGACACTTCCAGATTCAGTTGTACCCTGTTAAAGATAGGAGATTAACAAGAGGCCGACTGGAGCGTTTGCAAAATTTCCATCACGTCCAAATGAAGGTGTTCGTAATGCACGGCTGTGTCTACAAAGAAAATAATTCGGAATACTCCAGAATAATGCATGGACATCCACGAAAATTGTCACGTTACCAGGATAGCACTTATTAATCAAACTCACATTGTTACACTTTCCTGATATTTTCAGAAACACAATATTTGTTAATTATTCCCTCTGCAACTGAGTAGAAGTGACTAATTCGACGAAAACACGGTTTATCACACCTTTCTAGTTTATAAAGGGCAAGGAATATTCTTGTAAACACAAAATCAGTTTTGCTGGAAAGCTGAACAGGTCAATCATGTTCGTCTCCTTGGTGATTTTCTCGTTGATGTTTGTAGGTAGAGCTGTTTCTTATGAGTTGGAAGATTACGAGGAAGATGAAGAAGATTTTGCAAAGGTGTGTGCTACAATGAAGCGATTTTAGAGTTTGTTAACAGTTTCACCCTGATGCGGTTTGATTTACTTGATGAGGCCTCAGCTGTACTCAAGGCGTCGTCATAACGGTTGTTCATTTTTTTCGTCTTCAGTAGACTTAGCTACTTGCGGTTTTATTACATTTCAATATTTTTAGGGAAAAACACATTAATTCTTTATTATATGGATATGAGGTTTCTAGGAAGTTTAATGTCTCTTTCCACTTCATTCTTACAGGATTATCTGAGACAGTACCACTACATCTCACCAGCCAGATCTGGGAATCATAACACCACCGTAGCAAATGAGAACTTTCAGAAGTTTTTTGGTCTGCCAGTGACAGGTGAACTGGACGAGGACACGATATACGAGATGAAGAAACCGCGTTGTGGAGTCCCGGATGTTGACATCACTGGAGGACGCCAAAAGCGTTACGCTACGTCGGGAAAATGGAGGAAAACCAATCTTAAGTATTACATGACTTACGGGGACGATATGTCACACGATCATCAAGCGAGGATTATGGCCAGAGCGTTTAAATACTGGAGTGACGTGGCACCACGACTGCAGTTTGCAAAAACTGACGACCTTAGCAAAGGTGACTTCAGTAAGGTAAGGATGATGTTTTAAGGCTAATACTATTGTCGTTACCTAGTAAACTCATTTGAATGTCTAAATGGAAGACTATGAGGTGACCAATCATTGAAAGATGTATTTTTGCAAAATGAAGTTTTTG